TATAGTAGAGATGATATGGTAGTGTTAACTGTTTAGAATATAATGATGCTTAAAACCCAAAAGGTTGCAAGGTAGTGACTAATCCCAACTAAATTGTGATACCTCTAAAACATAAGTTACGAGTTGGTGAAACAAGGATGCTTTGGATCGTTAGATCCGGATCCAATACCTTCTTGTTAAAATTGTATAGAGGCGAAATGTTCGAATCTTTATTCTTTTGGAAAGAAGAAAGAATCACAAAGTTGTTGAGGTTAATTCACTTAAATGTTAGTGGCACTTGTCCACAAACATAATATTACTCATGTTGAATAACATTCACCAAAGATCACTCTCGGTTGGACTATAGTTTATTTTGAATAAACACAAGTCCGAATACTTTGTAAAATGTTTCAAAGAATTCAAGTAATGTAAGTTGATGAGTAAGACATCTAAAGTATTTACCTCCTTAGATTTGATCCAAGAAAAGGTAACACTTTAGATAAGTTTCCTTGAAAGATATCAAGGAAAATAGCATCATAAGATAATGTATTTCTCCATTAGGAGAAGAACGAACTTGAATAAGATTTAGTTCGTTAAATGTTATCTATTACCCATATATATAGGATATATACTTCTAAAACAATATGATTGTCAATGAGAAGATCTTCCAATATTTTCATGACTCCATAAGATGTAGTTGGAAAAGAAAGACAAATCTTAAGCATGTTAAAGATTTGGGGTTGTGTGCTAATAAGCAATATTTGTTTGATAACAATCTTGTAGGATATCCTTAAAATAACTTTTGGATATCGCTTCTATAAACCAACTAACAAATGTTGTTTTGTTGGGTAGTTCATTGTAATTCTACAATGTGATTTGCCTAAAAGCAAATGAACGAGAGATAGAACTCAAAGAATGGGTTCTTTGAGAGACAAGATAGTAATCAACAAATATAACAACCTAGTTCCTATACCACAAGCTCCAAGGTAGTCGATAAGAATGAAAATCCTTATGACTACATTGAGTGCATATACGATATATACTCAAGGAAATGGTAAAGTACCATTTGACTCAAAATAATGAAACCTTCAAAGCTAATTGGTAGCTTAAGGTGACTACAATCAAAGAGAATGGTTGACTTTAAGAAACCATTTTTGACGTAGTCTTAGTTTCAATTAATTCGAAGATTGCTAAGCTACAACTAAAATGGTGATTCAATGTTTTGACATAATATGGGTTTCCGAAACCATTATTAAGATAGTCTTGATAATATATGTCCAAAACTATAAATCACAAGACATGTAAGTTGTAGAGATCCATCCATCATGGATCTTAGCAAGTTAGTGGGAGCTATTTGCATTTTATGAGGAAAAAGGATCAAATCGTTTGATTTCTCATCAAGATGTAAATGAATCTTTTGTTTACGAGTTTTACAAAAAAAAAAAAAAAAAAAAAAAAAAAAAATTAGTGGGAGTTAATCATGTTCCTAAAATTTAAGTATATATGATATATTAATTTTGGAAATGAAAAGAATACTTCTTCGTTAAAGTTATGACTTTAATACATTATATGAAGATAGAATGTATATGGGAGATATAGTCTATATACATGGGATGGAAATCTATAATGATATATTTCATGATATAATTGGATTATATCAAATCCCTAATAATAGACAATGGATGCTAGGAAGTTTCTCATATGATGATAAACTTCAATAAGAAGGACGATTCTAGTGAGACTAGCAAGTTGCCCTTCTCAAAGGGAACGTACCCTTTGACTCCCATAGAAATAATGCGTAAATTGAATCCTTTATGCATAAGCAGAAAGGTGATTTATGTATTTCATATTGTATGAAAAACATTGATATGAGTTGTACCTAGAACGGTACAAGACGATATCAGTGCAAGCCCAGGATCAGAACCGTGGCAACTGTCAAGTGAGTCCTTAAGTATTTAAGAAATACTTAAGGATAGATTCCTCAAAGAATGAGGAAGAATTAGAGTAACGTAATGGAAGCGTAAATGTATTAGATTATGAATCTGATACATCATTGGATGTTTCTTCATTATGAATGAAGAGATAAACAAATATCTCTTTATTATGACTAAAGAGATATTTGGATGGAAACATTAAAGTAATGACTTTAGTGTGTTCCATTATGAATGCAAGATATATTGCCATATAGAAGTTTACAACAATGTTGTTTGGATGGGAAAGTTCATTTATGAACTCTCTATTCGATTCCAACCAGAAAGTGTATGACACTAATGGGGCGATAGCTCAAGCCTGGGAATCAAGGTCTCATCAAGATCCGAACACAAATGAGAGACTGAACCACATGATTGAGAATCATGTATAATGGTGACGTCGTTATTCTCAAGGTTGCTTCTGTGGATAACACATATAGATATCCATTGTCTAGGCCTACTATTCAGCCATTTATGAAATGACTACAGAAGAGGTATCATCAAGATGACCTAGCTGATTGTCTCTAGTGCAAGTGGGAGATTGTTGGAAATGTGCCCTAAAACCAATCATATGATGATACTTTACGGACATTTCAAATGTTAAACTAATCTAGTTTAACATATAAAGGGCAAAGATTATTTGTTTGAGCCGTCTCATATAAATGTTATATGCTTAAACGATAAAGTCCAAGGAATATGTGATTGGGAGAATGCAATCTAATGAAAGTTAGATTAATGAGACCATTCTTTCGTAGACACATCCTAAATGTTCCTGATCATAGGATTACCAATTGGGCATTGACAGTCCGTTAAGATCAGTACGTACTGTGTCTTCTCTCAGGGAGAGTGACTAGTCTCGAGTCATTGGTGTGTGTGACATCAAGACAAGTACGTAGGTGCTCAATAAGAGAATGAGTTCACTGAACGTGATCAACGAAGAGTTCTTATATTCCATGTCACATGAGAACTCATGGTTGGGATAATGCAAAGTAGTCCTTTGACCTGAGGCATCACAGTTGTCTTGTGGTCAAGTCCTTAATCTTTGATTATGTCTAATTCACCCCCTAGGGGTGTCACGACATCGTTGGGGTTAAGCCACTTTAGCTATGGAGACAAGTAAATGCGCAACAAGGGATCTCTAACCTTCAAACAGTTGAGGGAGAATACTCTATGATATGATTTGGAATCTCTGGCCAGAGTATGAATGAGATTGGGGAATGCGTTCCAAATCACATTCAAGGAAATCATATAAGCAAACGATTCACATTGGATAGTAGACATGAGTAAATAAACTATCATACCAAACAATGTGGTCAAGAGTATTAGATTAGAGAAGGACCGTATTGCATTTGTAATCCCGAACTGAATAGGTTCTCTAACCTCTTCTGATTAGCTTGGGTAACCATGACATGCTGCTAGGCGTCAACCATGGTTTGTGGAAGCCCTATACGTGTATAACCACTAAAGGGAGAATTGAAAATTGTTTCAATTCACAATCGATGTAAAATTGTTTTAATCACCCACTGCCTCGCTAAAAGGAACCTAATGGATCGCACACCATAAAAGGTAGAGATTGAAGATTAAACGGAAATGAGTAAGAATGATTAAATGGTTTAATCATTTATTTATGGCAAGGATTAATTAATATGTTAATTAATCAAACGAATAAGTTCGTTAAAGACTTCGGGATAGTTTTGGACCTTAAGGCCCAATGGGCTTCGAACGTCAAGCCCATTAACTTAAGTTGTATGACAATTTAATGAATAAAGATTCATTAAGGCCCAAAACTCCCTAAATGGCCGGCCATATGTGTATGAATTAGGGTTTTGGTTGTTTAGGTCACTTAAAGAAGTGACTATATAAATGACTTTATAGCCAAATATTCATTAATGTGATTAAGGGTTTATTTTGGGTGAAAATGGGAGAGAATTGTCTCTCCATTTTCTCTCTAAAGAAGCTAACACCTTGGAGGGTACATCTAGCAATCCTACTACTCCAAGGTCACTCATTTCTTCTACAATCAAACCTTGGTGAAGAGACTTAGAGGTTCTCAATTTTGGGAACTTAGAGAACCTATTCTTCCATCCAAATCCATGGATCTAAGAAGCAAGGAATGAAGGCCCTATCTCTTTGGGTGATTAGCCTTTGCTTATGCAAAGAGGAATCTACAAAGGTATTAATTTCAACTCACTTTTTTTTGAGTTGATTATTGGTTCACCAATCTACTAGGCTTTGAATTTCATGGTAATGTTTTGTTTTTGAGTGCATGCAAGCATGATTCCGCCTTTTAATTGTTAATTGCATGCTATATGATGTTGCTCAAATGAACATGTTTTTCAAAATAAATCCTTCAGTTGACACGTGTCCTATTTGATGACTTTTCCAATGACTTTCGATTTTTCGTTGAGTCACATGCTACATGTAAAATTTATGTGACAGATGAACGTTGGAATTTTAATTATTGATCAACATTTATTTCATCGAAATTTCGATATCTATAGTCGTGTCGGGGTATCGGGTCGTATCAGGAATTGCCAAGCCTAGTTATATACCTTCATTAATTTTTTAAGTGACATTATTTAGCTTTCCACACACATTTTATCTTGTAGAGAAAAAATGTAAACGCTACCACCTACCACCTACTACTATAAATACTAACCTTACACCATCACCCTCATTACAACCACCATTTTTGCCACCACCACCACTACTATCGTCAACCCTAGTCCTACTACTATGTCCATTTGTTATTGTATACAATTATATCACTTTTACATTAAATTATACCAAATGCTTTTATTTTGTTTTTTATACTCACAACACTTTTAAAATTTAGTTACCTAAACGTTCATCATCTTTATTTTACAGTTAATTATTCTTAAAGCACAGCAGAAATAATTTTTAAAAAAAAGCATAACAATCCCGTGCTCAATTGTTGACTTGTTTGTGTGGAACCCGACCCGTACACAAATGGACTGAGGCAGGTGATGGACATGGACCCAGCTTGGACTCTTTCAACTTTTAGGTCAAGTAGCAGATGTGTATCTGCACAGGTTTTTCTTTGCTTTTGGAAAACGAAAGTTTGACTCCTGAAACCTGTTTCTGGAGAAGTGCTTTTGTGTAGTAGGCCTGTGGGTTCTGTGTAGGGTTAATACTCAGATCTGAAAACAAAGGACACACAGATTCACACAACAGCCTTCTCCTCCCCCCAAAACCACCACAACCAACCCCCCACCCACCCACCCAAAAAAAAAAAAAAAAAAAAACCTTCCTGCTACCAAAAACCCAAAAAACAAAAAAAAAACACTGAAATGAGGCCCCCTTATTTTCACAAGCTGATTGTGTCTTCTACTCTCCAAGCCAAACAGCTGGTACATTCTCTTACTCTCTTCATAGTTTGCTTTTTAATTGTGGGTTTTTGCTTTTGTTCTTAATTGTGTGCTCAGCTGTTTGGGGTTTTTTTTTTTTTTTTTTTTTTTTTTTTTTTGGTTTACTGAGAAATTTGGGGTGCGTGTGGAACTCAAATGGAAAATTAGGAATTTTTCTTCTGTTTCTGGAGGATTTTGCAGACCCACTTAAGAGAGGAAAAAACCCTTCAAATACTGTGTCTTGTCTGTATTTCTTTTGGGTGGGTGGGTAAAAACATAAAGGGTTAAACTTTGGTTTGGTTGTATGGTAATTCAAGGTTGTTTAGATATTTTCTTTAAATTTTCGTCGCAGGTTGTTCGACAAATCCGAGGAACTTGTTTCGTTACATAGTTGAATTCTATTTAAACAAAGTTTTAGTTTTATTTTAAATTATTTTAAATTTCCTTCATGATGTTAGGAAGGTAATGAAAACCCAGCTCAGTAGAATGGCTTTGTATGGCTGCTAACTTTATGTGTTACTGGAGTGAAAATATGAAATTTGATATCGGTTCTGCTCCGTTTAGATAGATGGAAAGTTATTCTAAGTTGAAACCCCGAAAATCTTCTGGCAACAATTGATGATATATGATAGATGGGTCTATTCCTGGTAGGAATTTTATCGGGGTAGAGCGAGTCTTGCGCATATAAGTGTCTAACTAGATACAAATTATTTGGACTATAATGATAATCTAGTTAGTAACGAAAATCACTTGAGATTTCAACTATTTTTCTTAATCTCTGCTACTCGTTGAAGAGAGGTCGCACTTGGTGTGATGGCAAGTGCCTTCGCCCATGAGCGGTAGGTCTCGGGTTCGAGACTTGGGAGCAGCCTCTCCATAAATGGGGGTAAGGCTAGCTGACATTCACCTCTCCTAGACCCTGCCTAAAGCGGAAGCCTTGTGCACTGGGTACGACCCTTCTGCTACTCGTTGAAGAAACAAAAATAGAGGTGTAGCGCTCGACTATCCGTCAGAAAAGTTGCAACTGTACGTTAGCAACTTTGAATTTATGAATTCTTAGCAAATAAAGAAGTTGTCCACCAGATTTCATAGGTATAATTCATTCCCCAAATTGTGGTAATAGTGTTCACCTTACTCCATTTCTAGTCTCTCCAGTCTGATTGTTTTGGCTTGTATCAAAAAGTGATCCGCTTCTTAATACTCACTTCTGCCTTTCTTTTCTGGTCACTTTTGTCTCCGAATTTTTTTCATGGCTGACAGACTTCATTCCATTGGAAGGCCTCTGAAACGACATGAGATTTGTTTCATACAAATAACATAAGTTATGTTCATATAATTATCTGATTGGTTTAAGAATCACTTTCTTGGACCTGAAACTTGAAATATGACTTGTACAATTTTGTAAAAAATCATTTTTACATTGAATATTATGTTTTTACTTTGCTAGCATTTTTTCCGATTTAATAAATGTGATATTATCATTGTATGTTACATATCTGCACTTTTTATGTCATGTTTATCTGTTTATGCAAATTTGCACACTGATATAGCATATTATAAATTAAAAAAAAAAAAGGCAAGGGTTCATATACAACTTTGCACGGTTGCCGTTTTATCCTAGCTATAACTTGATTTTGTAATTGTAGAGGATCCCGGAAAGTTTTGTCCAGAAATTCAGAAACGAGCTATCTACCATTGCTACGCTCACTGTTCCTGACGGTCATGTTTGGCATGTGGGAGTAAAGAAGGTTGACAACAAGTTTTGGTTTCACAGTGGTTGGCAGGATTTCATTGAACATTATTCAATCCGTGTTGGATACTTTTTAACATTCAGACATGAAGGGCGTTCATCTTTCACTGTCCATATATTTAATTTGAAAACTGCTGAGATTAACTATCAACCTAACGCTCTCAGTAGTACTGGAGGTTCTGTTTACCGGTATCAAGTATTTGAAGAGATGGAAGATGATGACTCTGTTGAAATCTTGGGTTCGTCCCCTACATCCATTGTTACCGATTCTTTGAAAGACAAGTGCTTTGGTGACTCTGCAAATCAACTGACTCCTGGGAAAAATTGTACTCCTCCATCGCTGCAGAATTTGTTTAATGGTTCCAAACCTAAGAATTGCGTGAACTGGAGTGATGCTGGGAACCTGCATCTATCGAAGGGTGATGATCTACAAGCAGGTAATGAATCTACTCGAGATATTGGTGTTCAATTTAATGTAACAGAGCTTAAAAAGACAGTGGATGAAGTCAAATTGCGTAGTCCAGGTGAAGACATACGAAGCATAAAGAAGACTGTGAGAAAAAAGCGGAAGGTTAATCCTAGTAAGATCTCTGAACTCGTACTGTTTGTCCTTTTTCGTTGATGGGAAATGCAAATCTCCTTATTAATTCTATGAGAGTGCAGATGTGGAGGAGTCTTCTTCTCAACACGAAAAAGAAGTGGAAATTCGCTTTCGATTTTATGAAAGTGCGTCTGCAAGGAAGAGAACCGTGACAGCCGAAGAAAGAGAAAGGGCTATTAATGCGGCCAAAACATTTGAGCCAGTTAATCCTTTCTGTAGGGTAGTCCTTCGACCATCCTACCTATATAGGGGTTGTATAATGGTGAGTCTTCAATATGATGTGATACACTGCTTCTGCTTGTTGATTTAACTTGTTACATCTTGGCTTAAAATTCCCTTTTTGCTCATGCAGTATTTGCCATCCTGCTTTGCCGAAAAGAATTTAAATGGGGTTTCAGGATTTATCAAACTTCAGTCCGCTGATGGCAGACAATGGTCAGTCCGATGCCTTTATAGAGGAGGTAGAGCAAAATTAAGCCAGGGATGGTATGAGTTTACGATGGATAACAATCTGGGGGAGGGGGACGTTTGTGTCTTTGAGTTGCTCAAAATGAAGGACATTGTGCTGAAAGTTACTGTATTTCGCGTCCTTGAAGATGCAGGATTTGTGAACCAGCCTCAACTGCAAAATCTCACCCCAGCTAAACCGAATAGAAATTAGTGGGTACGTGGCTGGTAAATTTGAATGTCTAAACTGTATCGAAGAATCTCTTTTCTCTTTGGGTAGTGGTCTGATTTGTTCATGTGGAAGTGTTTAGATCTATTTCGATCTAGTACTCAAAACTTTTCAGGATGACTTAGTGGAACTTTTTTTCGTTGTGTAGGAGTTTAAATACAAATTTTCGGGTCTTGACTAGCACTGTAAATAGATTGTTGAATACTGTGATGTTAATTGTCTCCATTTTCCTCTGTTATTGCTTCATATTTCTATACATCTCTTAATCATTGTTAGAGCAAAGACTGGATTAAGATGCTGCCTGCAGTAGACCTGGCAGTTTTTGACACGACACGAAAATAACGGGTTTCGGGTCAACACAATAACTTAACGGGTCATTATCGGATGACCCGTTAAGAACCCGTTAATAATGGGTTCTTATCGGGTATACACGTGGGTAACACGTTTCGACCCTTTAAGAAAAAATTTATTTTGATAATTTTAAAGTTTAATTATTAAAAGATTTATTATAAAATACAATAACCATATTAATATATACAATATATTCTATATTAAATATATAGTTTTGTATTATTATTCTATATAAGTTTTTAAAAAAAGTTTTGGTCATTATTTATTTTTATTATGAGAGTTCTTTATTATCATTACTAGGATAAGTTTTACTTAACATGTTGTTGTCCAAAATTAAAATTAACTAATATAGTATTTGTATAGACAAGAACTAAGAAGACATACATATAAGTATGAAAAATGTGAAAGAATATATAAACACTCGTGATTCATCATTATTCCTTCACAAGTAGATAATGGTTGCACTTACATTATCGTTTAAATTTTTAAAATCCTCCAAACCTTCATGAATAATGTTTTTTATTTGAGGGCAAAATTAATAATAATTATTGTAGAAGTGTAAAAAATGTAAAAAAACAATATATACAATCACTCATAGTAACAAACTTTACAACTAGATGAACGGTTCAGATCTTTGATATTACGTTTCGATATTTACGGTTAGCTGAAATATGAATCGATGTCATATAATTTGTAGAAACTTTATAAACATTAAGCAATATTTTCACTAACTGTAAAACTTTGAATATAATATCAACGATCCAAACCGTTCATCTTCCTGCATCCTCTAATAGATCAAGTTTTCAAAAAAGAAAATCTGAAAAAACAAAATTTGAAGAGAACAATGAAGCGTAAATGTAAACAACAATCAACGGTTAAATTTTGATCTATGATTTATATGATTATAGTGGCAAATTTCGAAGTTAAGCTCTTCATGAAAACTGTAAAGATTGTCATTATGAGTGTTTATATATATATTTTTTATATTTTTTTACACTTCTACATTAATTAAAAAACTATTAAAGACTTTAAGTAAGTGAAAATATACTTAAAAGAAAAATGTGTTTTTATGTTTTGGATGTGATAATATGGTATGTATATACTTATTTAGTATTATATTTTTCATTTGATTATTTATTGGTTTAAAATATATTTTCCTTAACGGGTAACGGTTCGGGTCATATTACCTGTTAATATTATCAGGTCGATTTCGGATCGGGTCATTTTACCCGTTTATTTTAACGGGTGTTACACGACCTGACCTGTTAAGATATCGAGTATGACACGAAAATGATACGAATACGGAAAACACGACATGAATGCTAGGTCTAGCCTGCAGATGTTATTAATTTTGCGAGTTCTAAATTCTGTTTCTGATTTTTACTTTTTAAATTTGGTCAAGCAAGCTGATTTCCACCCATTCTGATACAAGAAAACTGTTAAAAGAAATTCAACGATCTTCGTTTGACATTACTCTCTGTGTTTTATGGAGAGAATGGTTCGAATTTGAGTGTCTGGCCAACTGGCTTACCCTATGAGAAATTTTCCCGTGCAACCAATATATAGTTTCAGTTATGTCTTCCGTCTTTCATTTACTAAATTTGTTCAGTATTAAAAATGAATTATTGGTACAAGGTAGATGTGCAAGTGGGCATGGCATTGCCTTTATCCTCATTGAAGGTTATAACATATAATATTCTATCAATTCCATCCACAAATGGTATTAAGAAGAGAATTTAAGCATAATCCAATTAGGGTTTGGAAAAATGGTCAAAAAAATAGAATTCAGATTCTCTTTTATCACCATCTTTTCGCTATCTTTTTTATATTTTAATCGAAGTCTTATTGGGCTGTGCATCACTTTACAGTCTCACTATTCTCTCAGTGACCCAAAGACTTGAAAGAAAAAAGGAAAAAGAAAAAAAGAAGCCTCACTATATTATCACTTTCGGCTCAGTTTTATTTGGTGGCAACTTTTTCCAATGTCTCATTAGAGATCAAGGGAAGTAGTTGATGACTTTCCAATTCATGGGTTGGTATTTGGCAAAAAGAAAATAAACAAACCAAATCAACACCATCTTTGCCATTGGATGTGATTTCTTTTTTTATTTTTTTTGTCAAAGAAATGTGATTTCTTTTCCGGATGATCACTTTTTCTTTATACAAGTGAGGAAAATATTAGGGAGACTACATTTTTGTACTATTTTGTGTATGACTGTGACAAATGATGTGTACATGTCATGTCAATTAAGAATAGCCTAAACTACCTTAACCTATGCCCAGTCATCCAACTTTATGCCTAGTGATAGCCTAAAACTTATTTGGTATGAAATTCAAAATTATTTTTAAATCTTAATAATTGAAGAAATAAGAAAGGGAAAGAGAAGAGGGAGAATGGAAAGAAAATGAGAGATAGGGGACAAAGACATAGAAAGCTGAGGGAAATGATCGAAAGAGAGAGAAGACAAGGGAACAAGAGAGTGAAAAATCATAATAAATTGGAAGAGAGAAGAGAGAAAAGGAAATGATCGGATGAGAAAGGAGAGTGATAGGAGCATATTTATATGACTTAGTTAGCTTGTTTCTTTGCATTTAGTGAGTTAGTTTCTGCTTGTTAGAGTGCTTTAAGCTATTTTCGTGTGTTTTCAGGTTCAAATGACAAAGTTGGCAAGAAAGTGCAATTTGGAGCAATTTTGGGCCAAGAATAGATAGCATATGCATGGAGCAAGGTGGATGGACATTTTTGAAGATCAAAAGAGGCTAGGAATGTGCTACAAATATGGATAAATTAAGTCAAGACTTGAAAGATAAGGAATCAACTAAAAAGAAAGAACATTATCTTAACCAACCTTATCTTATCCAACATTATCCAAAACCTTATCTTATCCTAACCTTATCCTAATCCTATTCTACCTAAATTCCAGCTGCAAGGGGGATTCCTTATCATATTAAACCACCTCTTATTTGATTTCTAGGAGTCCTACAACAATGCTAAGAACTAATCATTTTCCTCCACAAACAATGCCGTGTATCTGCCCTATAAATACACTTGTGCCGCACCATTCAGAGAACCACACACATAAGAGCCTAAAATCAGAAAAATACACAATTGTGCCGCAGCTTTACAAGGAAGGAAGGAGAAGAAGAAGCTTAGAGCCGTGCCTACCATTCAAGACCTTTGGATTGTTGGAGCGTTTCTAGGTGTATTCTATCTTTTGTTTTCAATGTTTAATTTTAATTGTCTTTGTTTAATTGCAAACATGTGGAACTAAATTCGTTTTAGCTAGAGGAGAATTCAAAGCCATGAACATATGTGTGATATGAATTGATTAGATCTAGTTATTGTTTCATAAATCGTGAATGCAATTTACTTATTTGTTTGATTGATAACTTATTCTTGTGTGTTGATTGAGGATGCATACTTAGTTTGCATGCAGGGATTTGATGCTAAAATATAAGGGAGTTTCACCTAATAGTTATGAACTTATATTTATAAGTAGTGGAGGTTGCTAGTCACGATCGTGTTAAGTAAATTCCTAGCAGGAGTATCATGCAGTTCATAGTTACGAATGTCATGTCAATGCTTATGATTTTCATAGAACTTAATGATCTTTGATATGTATCTCTATTATGCAGTTCATGTAGGGAACTTGATAAGAATAATTTGGTTGCGTCGCTGAGTCCAATTCAATGAATTTAAGAAAATCTGATGGTTAAGTTGTGCAGTTCACGGTTAACTTGGGGCATTGTCATTCATGGTTTATAAGAAGAATAACTAGAAATCAATTTGTGTGCATATGTGTCATGTGTGGAGAAGGACCCTCTAGCTAGCCTTTCACCCCCTTCATTCACCCCAATTTCGTATCAATTAGTTTGTTTTCTGCAAGTTACTTAGTTTTAGTCTTAAATTCGTCAAAATAACCCCCCTTTGGTATTTTGAGTCAAGTTAAGTTTAGAATTCGTCCAAATCACCCTTTAGTTCCTGTTTTGAGTCAATTTAACTTAGTTTGTGTGTAGCTTATTTTGAGTAGTTTAAGTTTAGTTTTATGTTTTTGAGTCTAGTTTAGTGATTTAGAGTTTAATTTGTGTAGATTAGCATCCCTCCTAATCCTGGCCTATAATGATCCCTACTTACACATACTACAACCATCAAAAAGATGGTTTAAGTTTGTGTGCTATTATATATCACATTAGAGAGAAAAAAAAAATCATAACACATAGGAAGAGAGAGGTGAGGGAGGGAGGGAGGAGAGAGAGAATAAAAAATGAAGAGATAAGATAGAAAACGAAGATGAGAGATAATTAAAATTAAAAACTGACTTTTTGTGTTTTTCACAAATAAGTTAAATTTTTTAAGTTGGTTTTGAGTTCACCTTTTTAAAAGGGTAATACTTGAGAGACTAAATTTACAAACCAAATTTTGTAAAATGAATAATTGACTTGAGACCCAAATACTGTTTTTTTTGTTCAAAAACTGGATTCAAATTGCATACCAAACAGGTCCTTAATATTTTTACATTTTTTTTTGTCAAAGAATATTTTTACATTCTTTATTTGAATAAGATGTAGACATCAATCCGCTTTGGAAAGTTGATAAATAGAAAACTTCAAGCCTGGACATAAATATACTTCACATGGAGTCCTCTTTTAGACATAGGACGTTGTTTAAAAATAGGGATGGCTTCAAAGCAACAGGTGTTTTAGCTAAATTTGATTTATAATTATAAATCAAAAAAATTTTCCGTTTCATTCAATGCTATGTAGTATTAAAGAAATTTTCTTCAAAAAAATTGTATTCATTCCAAGAAAAACTTTGAAAGGGGTTATGCAAGGTTTATGGTTTAGGGCATGGGGTGACCTAGATTTGGAGGGAACATTTTTGTGTATT